GTTATTTGTGACTGCTACATGTGTACTGCTTGTTTTTATTCAGTAGGTCTGTTTTAAAGTGTGCTGCTATGTGCTCCCTATGTAGTCAACTTTTTTATAAGGCATCATCCTAACCAAAAGAAAAACCTTGAAGTGGCTGATACTTGGGCAACAACTCAATTAATGGTCACAATGGTGCTACAAAGCTAAGGACTTTGTAGCGTCTGGACCAAACAAAAACACAATTTTTCATTTGATTTAACAAATCAGTTATTCATTAGATTAACAAGATTTATGCTACAAGCTCTTTGTAGAATTGTACAGTAAGAAAGTTATTTCCCTTAACCAGGAAATTAACGTTCTTAGAATTGACAGACAGTTGACCCTGAGAGGTCAAGTAAATATCTACAGCGTATCTAAATATTTATAATTAATTATAACTAGTTATGATTAATTATTCATATTTCCCTTATGAGCTGATTCGCTACAACTTTAAGCTTTTTTTTGTGACCGTTTAAAAGTTGAAAAATTATGTTGAATAAAGAATAAGGAACATATACTTGATATTTCTTAATTTAGCTGTTACTTGCAAATGAGTTACATGAGTTAAATATTACACGTTTTTGTTTTTTAGATGTAATATTTTTCTGATGAATAACAAATTGAATGTAGACCTACATTATTGTTATTTTCTGTATGCTTTCATTTACAACAACAACAAAAAAAGTGTTTCTACTTCAGAATTTCATGTTTAATTCAATTTGTTACTTGCCTTTTCTTTGTGCTTGTTTTTGAAATATACTAGCAATTACTGAGTGAAAATTTTTTCCACACCATTATTTTTTTCAGTGTAGCATATATTTGAGCACTTGGGCTCCATAAACAAGCAAATACACGGTAATGAAATTCAGCAGTCAAATAATTAAACTCTAATTATATGAATCTCTTTCCTTTATCATCTGTAGAAATACCTTGACTGTTTGATGACGACAGTAAATTTGGTCTTTTTATTCTGATCCCATCATCAAAAGAGTTGCACGATGAAGTGAGATGTGTCCTGTCCTTTCCACAACACTGACAGATGTTGAGTGTTGAGCAGGAGAACAGGCTGTGATGTACCTCCGCAGAGCCCCCCGCTGAGCTCTGAACACTGGCTGATTTCCCCTCTCTTTGAACTCGTTGGGAGGAGTTTCTGTCTGAAGTCTTGTCGGCAGGTGAAGCTAGAGGGAATGTCCTGTACAGAGAGCCAGGGTCCCCATCGAGTGATATGATTAATCTAGCGTGCTCTTCAATATAGAGGACTGTGTCAGATGAGTGTTAATGCACATCTGTACATGAGGTTTATTGCCCAGACTCAGACTACTTCAAGATATCAGCAGCGCTTGGTTTTAGCCCAGAATGTGTTTTGTAATTTTATTTTTAAATATGCTAAAACAGGTTCAGATGATTCTGATGTCCTGCTATTTATGTAGTATGATTTGTACAGCATATTCTGCACAAAAGTTAATATGGTTTTTGAAAAGGTACCATGATTTTGGACGTGTGCTTTGGAAATAAGGTGTTTGAAATACCATGTTTTTTGAATTACCATGTTTTTGGACATGCACTTTTTAAATAATTTGGACGTGTTCACTACAGTTCAAAAGTTTGGGGTCAGTAAGACCCTGCTGATTAAAATTACTTGTTTCTTACAAACGATAGTGTATGCCATTATGTAAGGAATAATTGACAACGGGCTGTTGAATTATTAGAAAATAATGCACACCTGAGGTAGTGATGCAGCCATGATGCAAAGCGGAGTGTGTGTGAATTGCCTGAGTCTGTGTGTCTCTTAACAGTGTTCAGCAGAAGCGGCTCTACTAATAGCGTAACTAAGTTGAACAAAACTGCTTCAAGAACACACTGTTATTACCTCGCTAGTGAGAAATGTCATGTAGCTTTTAAGTTGCTAAGCTATTTTACTGATAAAATCGTCAGAGCAGCGCTGACAACATGTTTCTGTGTATGTCAGTAATGTATGTATGTGCGTTTGTAAGAGAGAGAGAGCGGGAGAAATAGAGTATGTGCTTTCTGTACATGATAAAATGTAATTTTGTGGCAAAACATGGAAATAATTTGTTGTTTTTATCCTATTGTTTACTATATTAATTTACTTGGTGTCTTTGTGGGTTTTGGTTCTTTTGCTGTTGTAGGCTGTAAGGACCTTTGAAATAACTGAAATCGTGAAGCGATATGGGCATGGAATGCGGTCAAGACCTGCCTGAAACTACTAGCTGTGCATTTCCCTGAAAATAATTGCACACCTTAGAATGTTCGTCAGCCAATCAGATTCAATCATTCAACAGGCCCGTGGTATAAATCTGTTCAGTCCACCCCGTGGAAGTGTTTTTATGAGTTGTTGTCTTTCTAAAATGAGAGAGGAAATGGATTTACCCTTGCAGGCCACAAGTTGTTTAGGCCTTAAACGTACACATTGAATAACACTGTTGGATTAGGTTGCTGTTTGGGTAGATGTGATGAATGGAGATTAGATCATTTTAGTTCTCACAGATGCTCAGTGCTCGAGTTAACAGCAGGACCAAGGTCATGTGTTAGCTGTTCCTCTGTAAACAGACAGTCTGTAATACATTAACAGACAGCCGGATGCTTTCTGAGGGCTCTTTAGATGCAGTCCTTCCTGATTCTACCCTCTCTGCGGACATTTCAGACTGTCTGGTCTGAAGAAACTTCAGGTTCTGCCCCACCCGTTCAGAGGCATTTTAGCAGCAGGGAACGGGCCCCACCTCATGGGCTTCTACGGGACCCTCAGCATCTGTCTGTACCGTCTCTGCGGACATTTCAGACTGTCTGGTCTGAAGAAACTTCAGGTTCTGCCCCACCCTTTCAGAGGCATTTTAGCAGCAGGGAACGTGCCCCACCTCATGGGCTTCTACGGGACCCTCAGCATCTGTCTCCTGGCATGCAAAGGCCGCTGGGTCCATCCCTCCAGCATATGCCTGGAGTAACGTGGGGCTTAGCAGAATTCCTCTTTGGCGTGACATCCATTTCTCTGTTGTGCATGAGTGAACTTCACATCGAGGGCAACAGGTTTATCAGGATGAATCTACTGTATATGCATGTGTAACCTTCTTAACCACACCAGGACTGCATGTGTTAGAGTAACATTTAACGTCCTGGACACATTCCCTATTAGAGCAGGAGTCTGCAGGGGTTGTTTTGAGCTGATTTATCTGTAATGACGATGTGTGTCTCAAGGGCTGTACACAGTGATTTGTAGTGACAAAGTGATCTGAAGTCATTAGTTTTCAAAAACAGTTGACTGTTTGAATGACTGATGGCGATGAGACTTTTTGCATGTATGAGCTTTATATGAGCAATTGCTCATCTGCATAGAACGTGGTGTGTGTGTGTGTGTGGTCAGTATAGAAGTAATGCATATTCATAATGTATTTGAAATGATTTTGCTGGTGAAATAAAATTAAACGACAATATGTGTTTAAACCACAGAAGCAAATCGTTTAAATTTTTTTCTTTTTGTTTTTCCAAGCATCAAACTATTTCAGTGATTTAAATCAAATCAGTGATTCAATTTCATTTGCATCATCACTCTAAAATGTTTACAAAAGTCCTTGTTTTCTGTATTAAAATGTGTGGGAAAACATACCTTGTCTATTTAAGAAATATTTTTAAAAATGTAGTTCTTATATTAAACATTTTAAATCTATTTTGCTTAAAATTATTTGACTGAATCATTTGGTTATGTTTAAATTATCCCTCTGATTCCTTTTGATTAGCCTATGTATTGTGATTGAATCACTGTCCGAACAAAAAATCATTTGCAACTACTGCAAAATCATGTAAACCACCTAGAATGTATTTTTTAAAAACAGCTTCTTTCAGCTGATTCTTCTGCTCTCTCCTGTATAATGAATGATGATAAATGTGTTTTTTCTTTGCTTTTCTCTGCAGAAAAGAGCAGAATGTCTTGTCTCCAGTCAACTGCTGGAACCTTCTCTTGGCTCAGGTGAAGAGAGAGAGTCGAGACCATGCCACACTCAGCGATCTCTACCTCAACAACATCATCCCACGCTTCGCCCAGGTCAGCGAGGACTCAGGACGCCTCTTCAAAAAGGTGACATTTGTTTTTACATACCAGCTGATTTCTCTATAAAAGCCTCTATAGTGGCTTTTCAGTTGTACATTGACCACATTTTCATTGTATATATAATTTAATTATTTTATGTCTCATACATGATATAATTTGTCAATATTTATATTAATTAGGGCTAGTAAAACTAACATGTTACACTAACATGTAACAAGCGTGGGGAAGTCGTGGCCTAATGGTTAGAGAGACGGACTCGTAACCCAAAGGTTGTGGGTTCGAGTCTCGTACCGGCAGACTAGAGATTGTAGGTGGGGGGAGTGAATGTTCACCTTCAATACCACGACTGAGGTGCCCTTGAGCAAGGCACCGAACCCTCAACTGTGCCGAAGCATAAATGGCTGCCTACTGCTCCGGGTGTGTGTTCACGGTGTGTGTGTGTGTGTGTTTACTGCTGTGTGTGTGCACTTTGGATGGGATAAATGCAGAGCACTAATTTCGAGTATGTGTCACCATACTTGGCCACATGTCACTTTCACTTTAAGACACTTTAAGATGTTAACAGTTTGGTTCACAACTATCTTCTGTGGGTTCTTATGCTCTTTAAAGCTCTTTAAAGCTGATAGTGCGATGATTAGAATCTAAAATCTCAAGCTAAAAATCCTGTTATATTTGCTCAGGTCAAGCTAATAGATGCAAGAGAGCATCATTCTCATTCCTCTTGGCTTGTCTAGACTGGTTAGACAGGCAGGAATTCAGGTCGCTCACTATCTAGACCCAGAGCTGTGAAAGAGATGCTTTCTTATCAGCACATTTCCAGTGTCCATTGGTTATCCAGGTGAATCCAGTTTGATCTGGTCCGTTAAGGTCAAATCCAGCTTTATTTATTGAGAGGGAATCTCCTTAAAGTGATAGTGTACCCAAAAATGAAAAATTATATCATCATTTACTCACCCAGTTGTTGTTCCAAACCTGCATGAATTTCTTTCTTCTGTTGAACATAAAAGAAGATATTTTAAAAAATGTGTGAAACCATGCATTTGTTGGTCCCCATTGATCCATAGTATGGGGAAAAAAATGCTATGGAAGTCAATGGGGACCAGAAACTGTTCGGTTGATGATGACAGAATTTTCACTTTTGGGTGAACTATCCCTTTAAAGCAAGAACCCATTAGTTGAGCAGGGTGTTTTGGCACTTTTATCAGAAAGAGGTTGAGAATCTAATTTCAAATGATGTTCATTTAAGACCCCTTGTGATATAGTCAGAGGTCTCAGCTATGCATAATTTAAGGTTTATTGCAACTTTCTCTTCTAAACTTTTCTAAAAATTCCAAATCGAGAGAGAGAAAGGACTCTTAAATCGCATTTTTTCCCCCTGTATGTCTAGCGGCAAGAGTCTCTCAGACCCCAATCAGCACTTCTTTCTCTCCCGCTGTCTCTCTGTCTGTTCTTTCGTTCCCGTGAGAGAGAGAGATGAGCCTCCCTATCAACATTCTCCTCAACTCTCTCTGTCTCTCTCTTCTGTAGTTTAGCTCACCCGACTCTCCATGCTGCAGAAATAACAGTATTTTAATTGAACGCTCCTGGACGGCCTCTCTCTAGAGGCTTCCTGGGAATCGCTGAAGTCTGTGCAATTGGACTTACCCCACGTCCCAGTGGCGCACACCTCCCACCTGTCTTACAAGCGCTACGACATGCTGGAGAAATTCTGCACTCTAAATGCAAATATAGTCAAGGGAGCCGTGTCCGGAGGAGGTTTACGACTTTATTGAACCATAAGCGCAGACACACAATAAAGGAAAACACTCTTAGAAGTGGAGAAAGAGAAGTTTTGGCTGTGAAATTTTGGATGAATCTTATTCCCCTTATTTAGTGCCTGATGAGAAATGTAGCACAATTTAATTTGACCACTTTTAGCTTCTAATATGATGTGATATGTAATTAATGAATTAATTTACATTTTAACATATTTTCATGAGTAAGAATAAATAGATTGTAAAGTAATTGTCTACCATTTCGTATTGGCAGCAAATAGTGGAGAGACACAAAATACCAGTACTACATTGGTTATCATATGTTGACATTAAAAAAAAAAAAAGAATACAAGTTAAAAAAAAATAAAAGTTTGGAATAATTAAGATGTTTTAATGTTTTTGAAAAAGTCTTTTGTGCTCACTAAAGCTGCATGTATTTGGTCAAAAATATAGTAATACTGTGAAATATTATTACAATTTAAAATCACTGTTTTCTAATTGAATATATTTTAAAATGTTATTTATTCCTGTGATTGCTCTAGATTAATAATTTAATTAGATTATAATGCCATCATCTAACTCTCACTTCAAAATAATCTTTAAAAACACTAATCTTTAGCAAATCTCAAAATGAATATCAGTTTTTCATACTGTACTGTATAATGGTGTGATGTGTAAATTCACTTGTAGCATTTAAAACAACTGATTTTAATTTTTAGTGTTATATTTTTAATATATTTGGACATACGAATGTAGGATTTTAATATCTGTCATTTACAGTGTTGGGTAAGTTACTCAAAGTAATCCACTACAAATTACTATTTTGAAATTGCAATTTGATTACGTTACTGATTACTGCATTTAAAAAGTAATCAGATTACTAATTACTTTCAAGTTACTTTCAAGTTTACTTTTCAAGTTATCAAACCTAAAAAAATACCCTAAAAAATGAAACTCATTGTTCTTTCGGTAATTTAATATTGACTGAAAAATTACTTAAGTATGAAAACAGCAACTTGAACGATCACTTGCATTTTTTCCTGATAACAGCGAAAAGAACTTAAATGTTCTGTCATTTTTGATCTTACAGATAAGAGTAATACATCATTTGAAACTGTAAAAGGTCTACACTCGCAATGTCAACAGAAAGCTATGCTTTTGTAAAATAAAGAAAACAAACAGTGTGCGCTTTCTGCCGTCTCGGTCTCTGTGAACTTCTCTCTGAAACAAAAATTGTTTTGCGTCACAAAAATGAACGAAAACTCAGCGAATACTTCACACAAGGACATAAGAAATATATCTATAGAAAGACTGAAGTGTATATTTTTAAACGAAGTTTATAATATTCTCTGATAAAGTAATCCGTATGAAACCAACGCAAGGTTCAGTCTGTCCTGTCTGAGCTCATTATCTGTAATGTGGTCACACCCACTCGCAGCGTGAGCTATTCATGCTGTATTCATTCATGCTATTCATCCACATGAGCTTGTACACATTTTACTAGTAGGACTTTTCCCAAATGCCAGACTAAAATGTGAAATCGAGTGCAACATTTTGAAATATGATAGGCAACATTTCATTGCATCTAAATGTTGTACGACTTGTCTGCATTTTAGCTCGCATTCTCTGGTGAATTATTAAAGGGCATACTGTCACGCAAAACATGATTTTTAAATTTTACTTCATATTTTTTCTTAACACTGCATTTAAAACTTAATTTTATTGACATTAGTAACTGAAATCAAATTACATCAAATTAAAATGTAATGCATTACATTATTGCGTTTTCAGGAAAAGTAATTTGAATACAGTAATGTTACTGTGTAACGTGTTATTCCCAACTCTGGTCATTTATTATGAAAATAATTATTGGCTTTTCTGTATAGTCCAGAATTTTAATATTGGTGCATAGATGTGTTTGGAAAACCTCTTTGGAGACTCATTTAGTGCCACTAACACTAGCTGTGATGAAAATAAATTGAGAAGTTTTTTCTTTATTAGAAAAAAGGCAATAGACTCTGCAATATTGGCTGTGCTTTGGACTCCAGTAACCAACAAACATGTCGTGGACTTATTTTTCAAGCATTTCTCTGCTGAAGTAGCTCCGATCACTGAGTACAAGTACGTGTGTGTGTGTGTGTTTTTCTAAACATAGTACTTTGAATCAAGACAAAGGATTTTCATCAATTCAACCACATGCTCTTGTTTTTGGGGTGAGTTAGTAGCAGAGGTGTAGGAACAGTCCTTTGACATGTGACTGATGTTGAGTGCCAGTAAACCAGTCCCCTCACACACACCCCAAAGTGATGCTTCTTTGAAAGATTTGTGCAGAGCCAAAACCAATCTCCTGTCAAGTTCACCGACAAACGTGTGATCGTTTTCATTTAACAAGTGCATCTTGCTATTAAGGCTCATAAATCCATGTCCTCCCGTCCCAGTGTCTCTCCCCTGTTTCCCAATAAATTTAAAGAGGCCTTCATGGAAAATCAATAGTTTACTCCCATTTTTTGGCTCTTTGTGTGTTGTCTTTGGAGTGTGTCTCTGAGCAGATGGAGGAAGGCAGCTCTGCCTGCTCCGACTGCACTCCTCAAGATCCATTTCACCGCAGGAGTGTTATGCTGCTTAGCGGGGAAGTGTTATGTGTGTCTGTGAGTGGCGGAGCAAGAGAGAGGAAGGAAAAGTGGAAAGGAGTAGCTTAGACCCAACAATCCTAATAGAAAGAGCAGACTGAATAAATCCATCAAATGCTTCTTATTGAACTGATCTGAAGTAGGGCGACCAACAGGGCAGACTGGAGCCAGACCCCACTGCACGTGTCTCCCCCAGCAGGTCTGTAAGCACAAATGAGCTTACAGACGTCAGCTGGGGAGACCATATGCTTCTGAACTATCTCCCACACCTTCAGTTTAACGCTCACACATGACAGGAAAATGTAATGGGACAACATTTTTATAAATAAAGTATTTGGATGTTTGTCTGGAGGTATTTTTAGGCCTTTCCACTGGAGAAATCCACCGGTCTGAGGTTGTTTCCAATGACGTTATTGCACTAGCCATTTATGGCTTGAGTGATTGTTATGGGGATTATAAATACCTGGAACAAGAGCTTATATGTCTATGTCTGTTTTCCTAATAATTAACTTTTTCGTACTAAGGCACTTCAGTATTTGGAAGTTATCCTACACTTTTAAACAAATTGTGCCCTACCTGAGGGCCACCACATGCCAAAAATAAACCAGATTTATAATTTGCTTTCATTTTATGTCTTAATGCAATAATGAGTAGTTTGGCCTTCAGTGAAGTGGATGGAACTTCAACATTGTACAGCAGTGTTATTTACATTTCGATTTCGATTTTAAATACTATTTTGGTGACATTTTAATATTTTAAAGAATTATATGCATACTTTACTGTTTTAAATTATTATAATTAAAATGTATAAATAAAAAGTACGTTTTTTTTAAAGTTTGATATTTTAATTAAATGATGTTAATCTCTTTCTATTATAGAGGAGTCATACTGTGGCAATGAGTTAATGAACACCAATGTAGTTCCACATGAACATTAAAAACTTAATTAATAGTAGGAGGTAAAACTTTCCCACAAACTCAAATGCTAGAAAATCTTATTTACTTCCCGGTGAGGTCCTGATGAGCAGCATTTTAAAGAAAGAGATTTCCAAATTAGATTTAGTTACTCCAGAATACTAAACACATTTTAAATTCATAACCAGTCTTTTTGAAAATAGACATTATATTGCCCTATATATATATATATATATATATATATATATATTATATATATATATAGCCAGCAAAGACAACGCAATAGAAGAGCATCTTGTCTTGGCATTGTTTCACTTGTCTTTAACTTTTGTCTTCTTTTGGTGTATTTTAGTGCCAAGTTATGAGCTCAATCAGCTTGACTAAATTCCTCAGACTTGTTTAGAGAGGTGAGGTGAGCATCTCCAGACAAGCAGTTCATCCTCTGCTCTGAATCTGGGTGTTCTTGTGCATTCTTACATATTACCCAGTCCACTGCCTCCAAATAAAACCCATCAGAACTCCATTATGAATGACTCCCCAAAGGGGATCTCCTACGGGACGCCTCCCCACAGCCTACTCATCCATCTCAGCTTTCAAATGGTTAAAATTAACTCCAGTCTTTCCATCCTGGATGAAACAGGAAGGGAACTGTGTGACTGCACAATCACTGTTTGTGAAGATTGACAGATTGACTGTGTGAACACTCTCTCAATTTCACTCTTTCACCCTTAACTTCCTTGTCTTTTATGCCTGTGCACACACTTCATCTCCTTTCAGTCTCATATTTCCTTTCTCTTCCATTATTTCCATCACTTCTCATCCTCAAGAACTCAGGAGCTGATTGACATCTGTCCAAAAACAGCCATAAAAGCCTCAATCAGACCTTCAAAAACAGGAAAACCCACAAAAATGTCAATGTGGGGAATAGGGAATGAGTGACTGAGTCTTCTTGGCTGGCTCTCAATTTATCAGCCCACAGCAATTGAAGTTTGGACTTGAATTCGCAAGCACTTCATCTTCATGCCATACTGTGCCTTCGTTCCCGAACTTCCTCTTACAAGACACAGCATCCACCAGAGCAGCAAACCACCATTTGCATCTCACACAGTTTACTAGACCTCTTTATTCCACAGTCTCAAAGAGGAAGTCTTAGCAAAATCACAAGTAATGGTTTCCAGTTTCAGTTCAGCTGCACACTTTTTGACATTCGTTGTAAATTGATTGACACTGAACAGAAATGCAATACTTTTACATTGTCTATACACTTCAGTTTTGGAAAACCTCTCTAATAGAAGTGTAACCTTTAGACAAGTGCATAAGTGGAACTAACTGAGAATAGAGACACTTGTGACTTAAAGGGATAGTTCACCCCAAAACAAAAAGTTTCATTTTTGGTAGAACTTTAAAAGGCATAAATATACTGGTGTTTCAGCCCATTTTATTTCCATAATATGACATATTTCCAACTGAAACACAATGTACAAGTAGAAAAAGAAGCTTTGACCATTGTGTGCCATTCCTCATTCTTTAAAAATTATTTGAATGGACCATTGGATGTGCCCAATTGCCCATATGGTTAAATCGGCCCAGTGTGCAGTGTTCCAGTGTAATGTGACGGTTTGGCCAAGACTGTATTGAGCTAGATGTGTTTGAGGTTAGCTGGTGCTGACCTCCATTACTGAGTGAGCAGAAAAGCGTCTCATCAGTCTAACAGTGACAGCTTCAGGGCTCACAGCCCAAAAAGGATGGTCAGGTATAATAGAGAACAGGGCACTACTGTTAATCATGATCTACACAATTATCTCCCTCTATTTCTCTTATACTAATGTTTTTTTTTGTCTTCTTTTTTCTTGCAGAGTAAAGAAGTGGGCCTCCAGCTGCAGGAGGATCTGATGAAGGTCCTCAATGAGTTGTACACGGTAAGATACAAACAGCCTAGTCGAGGATGTCCTCCGTCTCTCTGGTTCCTCTGCATCAGCCTGCTGCAGCGATGAGGCATCGAGTCTCTGCTTCAGCCGAGTGGTTATTTTGGTCTCTTGTGGTTGTAGTCCAATCAGTATTTTTGAGGCGTGGGGTGGCTATAGTTACTTTTTCTTCTTGTTGAAAATATTTTGAGAGCGTTTAGTCACTGTGTGCCCCCTGTGTGTGGTTGTGTTACAGGGTGTGTCCGAATTTTAGTTTTAAAGACGCCTACATGGAACCATTTAATCACTCCTTAATGTTTATTTTCTTTGAAATGCATTTGTGTGTATGTGAACAAAACAATGTTTTACCAGACAGTCCTTGTAATTCTTTAGTAAGACAGAGGGACATGAACAAGTAGTGAATGATAGTAATTATAGTCGTCAGCCAGCAATGAATCTAACCTGCTGGCATGCAGATTGACTGCCTGTAGCTTACCTGAGACTCTAAAGCAGATCTATTGCATTTGCAGTGGCACAGAAGAGCACTGTGGAGTATAAGAGGATGGTAATGAACATCAACAGCTGTGGGTCAGAAGTGCAGAACCCAGTCTCAATTATTACTTACTGCAATCCTGGCAGATTTTGTGATATTCCAGTTATGCTGTATGTTTTATAGTCTTCCTCAAGCATCAGTCACTTTTTATATTCTGTCCTAATTATTTACCACATGCTGTTTTTGAAACGTGAACAAGCTACATTTCCACTGATGAGGTCATGGCACTTTTCATGAACAGGGTACGAAATAGGGCTTGGAACTCTTAAACACGAAGGCTTTTTAATGTTTCAATAAATCATCATTAAATGCAGTGTTATTTTAGTATAATTTATATACTATAGTTTTAGTGGTTTTGTGAGGTGCTTTTGTCATTTTTGTTTAATACTTATTTCTATTTAGCTTAATTCATTGTTTTTCAGGTGTAGTTTCAGTCATTTTAGTAGCCAAGGCAACATTTCTAATTTTTTTAAGTTAAAAATTTTCAACAGCAAATTTTATTTTACTTCAGCTGTTATCGAAACTGTTAACAAAACTGTTTTAATAGTTTTAGTTAACAATAACTATATGGAGGTGAATGTTGGTTTGATTGTTGATTATTATATTATATTATATTATTATACAGAACTTATTTTCCATAAATTTGCTTAATATTTATTTCTTTCAATAAGATTGGTAACGGTTGAATGATTGAGCTAGATGAATACAGACAGTAATGTGTTTAATACTAATGTTAATTTTAAGTAATGATTTATGTAACATGTAATTATTGTCACTAAAACAACATGGGATTTGTGCCTTTTACACTTTTTTTTAAAAGTAGTGGAGAACCAACATGTACTCTATTTATAGGGAACTCCTTCAGTGTTTACATTTTAGCATGAAAAAACCTTTAATGGTAGTTAACCTCGGTTTTAACCTTCAATGGCAATATTATTACTGTCTTATAGACTTAGCATTGCCGTATCCGTACCACCACAGAGACCCATGTTCCCTGGCAGTGCTGAAATTAGCAGTGGTGCACGGAAAATTCAGGGATGATTCAGTGGATTATAAGTCATGTTATTATCCTGCTGTATAGTGGAGTGCTGTTTTCTGATACACAGCATAGTATTGCATGGGGCTTCCACGCGTACATGCCCTTAATTAGCAGCACAGCTTGAATAATCCTAATTATCTCAGGCTTTTATTTTTACTGGGAGAAGAAATTCAGTTAGAAAACCCCTTTGTAATTTGCCTCATATTTTTGTATTCCTCGTTTTTGTGGGGGAGGAAGGAATAGTTTGGGGTTTTCAGGGTGGGGTGTTCTGGGCTCAAGTGTGGTAGGAGGAGGACCCGTGATATTGGCTTACTTTGAATGGCGACTGGATTCCCCCCTGTACAGATCCACACATGTTCTCCTCGGAAATGACTGTAACCGATTTCAATGCCCCATAAAAAGTAAGCAAATCCTTTAATTAAAGAGTTAAGGATGATGAAAATAAACCTGGCACCATTTTTAGTGACATCTGTGCTTTAAATGAAGAAAGGAAGGAATGAATAGAAAAGCTGATGATGATTATCTCAGCCTTTTGGATCTGAGAGGAACCCCACAGGGCCGAAAATGGTGAAAAACGTGACGAGTTTCCTCTTCATAATCTTTGGCATTCTTTTTCATAAGCTCAACAGTGGCTAGTTCAATAGTTCACCCAAAAAGTACAGTTCTGTCATCATTTACTCATCCTTGTGTCAATCCAAACCTGCATGACTGTCTTCTGAGAAACATTTTTGGGTGAACTTTTCCTTTAAGAACTGGAAAAGAGCCTGACACTTATTTGCATTTTACAAGAGCAAGAAAAAGCTTTGAGACCCGCCCACATTTGTTTGCCAAATTCCTCCTGTAAGTGTTTCCTATTAATGATGACATTGCAAAGAGCTTATTAAATGTATTATGTTAATATTTATATATATATATATATATACTTATTAAATTATATTATTAATATTATTATAGATAGATAGATAGATAGATAGACAGATAGATAGATAGATAGATAGATAGGAATAAGAAATAAGGGCTAATAATTTGGGCTAGATTGTCTTTTTTCAATGACTTGGAGTTTTCATCCAAGTCATTGTTCCGTTGCCTCACTGCCTGTACAAACATGTTGAGCTAAAAAGGTTCTGCATGCCTGACTGAGAGTATAAAGCATTTGTGTGAATGATTTTGGGCCTGTAGCAGTTTTTTAGTCGGTTATGTTGTGAATAAGTGTGTGCTGTTGAGGCTGATAGTCATCAGTTCAGGTGTTTTCCTCTTTCAGCCCGGTTCTTGCCTGTAATGTGTTTCTTTTCAAGCTGCCTTTATGAGCACGACCAACTGTAAGGATCCTTATTTAAAAAAAGAACACCACAAAAAATCAGCTTGAATGTTAATTATGCTTAATTGTTTTTCCTGCCGTCATATTTCTATGGAAGCTTCATTCTACCACAGGGTAAAAAAAAAAAAAAAAAAGGTAATTGCAACTTTTTATCTTATAATTCATACTTTTGTCTTGCAATTCCGAGTTTATACCTCACAATTTAGACCTTTTTTCTTGCCATTATGATTTTAAAAAAGTCAGATTTGTGAAATATTAACTCAGAATTGCGAGATGTAAACTTGAAATTAATTTTGTGTCGCAATTCAGGGCTCGACAATAAGGACTGCCCTATGGCCCGGGGCCAGTGTGAAAGACGTTCGGGACAGTTGACGGATTTATCACTGGTGTTATCGGGCCACTGCTGCGTCATCAAGAAAGTTTATCACTTGCATGTGTTTTTAAGCCTTGCCAGTGTAGACATTCAAGCGATTGTATTTTTTTTTTTTTTATAAATTTCTTTCAGGGCTTTTTGCACTCTAATGGACAAATACACCTGGTCAATTTGAACATTCATGTGATTTTAAAGCATTCAAGTGCAAGAAGACATGATAAACAACTCCATTCAGTGTGTAGAGCTGCTTCTCAGGCAACACACGGGCAGCCTCGTATTGCATTTATTTCTGCGTCGTCTTGCGCTTGAACCAGTAGAAAAAATCCTTAGCATTGAGCCCTGCAATTAGAAATCTTGCAAAAGAATTGTGAGATAAAAATCACAAATACCTTTTTTTTATTGTTGTATTTTATTTTATTCTTCTTTTTTTTTTTTTTTTTTTGTGTCAGAAACTGACATCCATATATTTCTCTACAAAGTTCAATTCATCACATATAAACTACATACATCACTGGGCATGATGCATTTACTCTGTCTAACCTACGATTTTATGCACATTTAACCTCCTTTTTCTTATTGCACAGGTGATGAAGACCTATCACATGTACAACATGGACAGCATCAACGCTGAAAGCAAGCTGAAGGAGGCAGAAAAGCAGGAGGAGAAACAGATGAGCCGCAGCATCCGACACGAGGACAGGCAGACCCCTCGCTCGCCCGACTCCCTGACACACATCAAGATAGAGGAGAAACACGTGCGCCGCAGCTCTGTCAAGAAGATCGAGAAAATGAAGGAGAAGGTGAGCAGCGAGATCAGAGGGTTCAAATGAGAAGGGAAGAGTTAATGCAAGGAGAAATTTGAGTTTTTGTACAACTGATTAAACCGAGAATGTGGAGGAAAGGTGAACGTGGGCAGGAGAAGAATGAACAGATGGAGGGAGATTTTAGGGAAATGGGAAAGGTGATAGAGTGGGAGTTGAGAGACAAAGGCTGAAAGAGGGAGAGCATAGGGAGCAATGAGCTGGTGAGAGATACAGAGAATGCCGTCACTGCCAGATGGTGTTGAGGGTCCTAAACCTGATCCTGGACAGCTTTAATGACCTGTTGACAGTGGTTTAATCAATTTATAACATGTGTCAGATACGTAATCCATGCTTATCATACCTAAATAATACTATGCTTATCACACGGCTCTCTGGAATACCTGATTCTGATTGGTCAATCACTGCATGCTGCAGTCAAATAAAATGAAAATAAAATAAAACGTATGACAAAATAAAGTTAAATAGGTGACTAGCAATGGTGCTTCCATATTCATTAAATAATAAAAAATAAATAAATAAAAGATAAGATAAAATAAAATAGCTAACCACCAATGGTCTTTTCATGTCCAAAAAATAAATAAATACAAATAAAATAGGTGACCAACAGTGGACTTTTTATGGGGGAAAAAAACAATAATAAAATAAAATGGTGACAGTGGTCTTTTCATGTCCTTTTACATATTTATTTTGTAAGTAGCAATATAACATACAGCATAATGTACAATCAGCCGGTCATGATCACAAAATAAACTCTTAGGGTGAAATAAGGCTGGACCTTACACTCTCATATTTCTAAAAATTCCAGAAATGTCCAGTTCGATATGCTAATCCTTAGCACTAAATGGCAATTTAATTCATCAAATGAATGGCTCCTCCATGACTGTATATACTGTGTTGTAGAATGTCATTGGATGATGTAATGAGATGGCATGGGGTCAGGGATCAGGCATTAGCATGTCTGGGCTAGATATTGTTGTCAATCCATGCCTTTGTTCTTCTGGAGTCCTCTGGTTACCGTCTCTGTCCAGTACCACCAGTTTACGGAATGATTGATGGGATCATCGCTGGGTTGTTCCAGGGCCACCTCTGTTTCCTCAAGACCAACAGCAGCTCCTCTATGTGTGTCCCACTAGAGAGAGCCTGTGGTCACCCCAGCGGCATTTACAGATGGAAATGTAGTGCAGTTTGCAGCCTATTCAGGGAGGGCTAGTAGAAGCTAAACAAGGTGCCATCCATCATGAGCTCATGTTTAATGTTAGCTTTAAAGGTTTTGTTCACTCAAACATAGGAGGTCTGTTATTATTTACCTACCTTCATGCTGTTCCAAACGATTTATGCTTTTATTTTTACACAAAAATATTAAAGTTTTCCCATACTTCTATGACAGGTTTGACTTATGATTTTTAGTTGCAAGACAGTAGCAAACAATGACGTTTAAAGTTATTAACACCCAACTTGAACCATATTTCAGAGATTTTGGTCCTTATTGTGCTTTTTTTTTTTCTTGACAGCCTGTGTTCATTATAAACAGTGGGAAAATCTGCCCTTTTCTCATCCGTTGTCTCATCCTCCTGGTTTTACTTTTTTATTCTCAGCGGCAAGCAAAATACACTGAGAACAAGCTGAAAGCCATCAAGGCCAGGAATGAGTATCTTCTGGCTCTGGAGGCCACCAACAGCTGCGTCTTCAAATACTACATCCATGATCTGTCTGACCTCATAGATGTAAGTCCACATTTATCTCATTCGAGTGTATTGTCATAAATAAATGTTTACAAAAAAAAAAAAAAGAGAGCTAAATCACAAGTATTCCTTCTTAAATCTCTTGATATGTGTTATAATGTTATAATGCAGTTAAACTCAACTTGTTTGAACCAATGTTATTTTAGTATTATTTATGTAATATTAAAGTTTTTATTAATATTTTAAATAAGCTTTTATTAGTAATTTTAAGTGCATTTGTAATTTTACTAGCTTTATATGTGTACATTTTAGTATTTTTAGTTCTTAGTATCTTTAGTATCTTTTTAATTCAATACGTATATTTTATTTAATTTCAACTTTAATTCAGTTACTTGAAACGATTCATAATAATTTTATTTGAAGTTTTAATTTAATTTAAATTAATAATTTTAGTTTTAGTTGAACAACACTGGTTTGAACTAGTTTGATCTAAGGGTTTTTAAAACTTACAGTGCCAGGTTTTGGTGTCTCAGTATTGATTCTAAATCAATACCTTATGAAGTAAACAAGCTCAGGGCAGCTGATGAAATGAAACTAGGGCTGTCAGTATGTGAATAATTAATGATTAATCTTAACATTTAGATTTTTTTTAACAGTTCTCACAAAACTTTTCTGTTTCTCAAACTGCTTCACTAATTCAGTAATTTAAAAAAAGGTTTTTGAGCTGTCATATATGATGGTCTTCTCATTCATTTTTGAATAATTAATAAGTAATTAAATTCCAATTTCCCTTGTGCAAATGATTGTACTTTTGTTAAACAACCCAATTAAACATTAACGTGGTAAAAGCATCAAGAATTTTGTACCTTTTCGTACCCCGGTACTTTCTTTATTTCAAGTATACTGTGCAGCCCTAAAAGGGCATTTAAGTGTAATGCCCTAAATATGCCCATGTACAGTGTCCCACAGTGCAATAATACCCTCTGACAGTGTGCTGCTTCATCAGACTACTTTATTCAAGTGTGACACTGAAGGTAGATTTGTAGCAGCCCCCTATTTGAGCTCCGCAAGAGGGCCTACTTGTCCCATCAAATCTACATCAGACTCCTAATAACGCACCCACAAAGTGCTGAAATCCCCTCCTCATATTACCCTCAACTGTGGCACGCAGGGGCCCACGCAACACAGTGTCACGGCGTCCTCTTTCTGAGTGAGGAACTGTGAATGATGGATTTAGTCTGAACAGCCTTCATTTAAAGCAGTGTTTCTCAACCCTGGTCCTGAGCGCCCCCCAACACTGCACATTTTGTATGTCTCCCTTATCTGACACCCATTTCAGGTCCTGGAGTTTCGTTTAATGAGCTAATGAGTTGAATCAGGTGTGTTTGATTAGGGAGACACACAAAATGTGCAGTGCTGGGGGGCGCCCAGGACCAGGGTTGAGAAACACTGATTTAAAGCAATCAGAGCGTGGAAGTGAAGTTGTAACCATGTGCAGGTTAACAGCCAAAAATGGGGTTCTTGGGTTCTTATTTTTTAGTTAATTTAAATGAAAGTCTCTGCCAGTTGCATAAATGTTGTAATTTACTCTAGATTTTACTGCCTTTCTCAACTCAAAATTTCCATTCACAGCTCAAAATACCAACCAAATACCCTTTTTCCCCCTCTCTCAGTGCTGTGACCTGGGCTACCATGCCAGCCTGAACCGTGCACTGCGTACCTGCCTCTCGGCCGAGTTTAACGTGGAGACTTCCAAGCACGGTGGTCTGGAGACCATTGAGAACGCTGCTGAGAACCTGGAGGCCAATGCAGACAAACAAAGGCTCATGGAGACCTACAACAACGTCTTCTGCCCTCCGATGCGCTTCGATTTCCAGTCTCACATGGGTGATATGGTCAGTTGGTGTGATTATTATTGCTTATGACATGACACTGGTGAAATTAAGTAATGGAATGTGCAGTGATGGTAATTATTTTCATGCCCCATGCAATATACCAACAACAGAGTCACAATGTGGGTAAACAATGGCACACAGAGATTCTTTGGTAACTGAGTGAGGCTTTACTGATTCAAGTGCTTTTGCTCCAATATATCAAACATCTTGATGATATCAAGAAATCCGCTCTGCTAAATACTAGGGATGCACCGATACCACTTTTTCCAGTACTCGCCCGATACCGATACTTTTATTTTTGGTACTTGCCGATACCGAGTACCGATACCAATATTTTTATTGCATTTTCCAGTGATGTATGTGAGAAAGGTATATTCACTCGACAAACTCGCGTATCTGCGCTGCCGCGCGCTCAATCCACTCAGCGTGATTTGCTTATCAACTCGCTCACATCAGCTATACAGACGTTAATACTGAATGTTTAACATTATATTCATTGCATACATATACTTCGTATACATCCTTAATCTCTAATAACTCCATTCTGCTGTCTGTTGTTCTGTTGTCAGTGTTTCTTTGTCTGAATATGGCACTTATCACATGTTGTGTGGTATCGGCGTTTGGTATCGGGGCATTTTAATGAGTACGAGTACGAGTACAGGAGACCAGTATCGGGCCCGATACCAGTATCGGTATCGGTGCATCCCTACTAAATACCAGTCAGTACTGTTACACAACGATCAACACTGTCTCTGCTGTTACACATGACTGTTGAAAGACTGTGTCTCATTGCATGTCCAAACAAACCCAGACACCTCGAGAGGAATGAAGCATTTCTCAATCAGATTGTTGCACAGTGACAGGCATGCCTGCTGAGAGACCTCTGTTGCTTCAGCCCTGTATTATTATATGTTGTCAGTAGACTGTCTAGTTATTATGTTATATATTATTCACTATTAATATGGCAAATCGACTGCTAACCTTATGGGTGCTGTAATTTATATATTGAATCACACACAGAAATTATCTGGCTCTGGTATTTTATTTTAATTTTATTTTTGTTTGGTTTGTTTTTATTTTATTTTATATGATTTTTTTTATTAAAGGTGAGATGTGTTCTTTCTGTGTCATTTGTGTCACCAAATGGTTAACATCACAACATCTACAACCAGCCAACAGTAAGATTAATAAACTGTAGTTTTCAGAAAAATGTATTATTAATTGTTTCTTAATTCTATTTGTTTAATTTGTTTATTCTTAATTCTGTTTATCTATTAGTAGTAGTAAAATTATTAGTAATAGTAGTAGTAGTAGTAGTATTAATTGTTATTTGTTTTGTTTTGTTTGTTATTGTTTTGTGAAATGTCAGTCCTGTGCCTCTAGTGTCACCAAACCAAAAATAATGATTTTTTTGCGAACAGGTTTTCTGAACACTGTCATTGTCAGTCAAACTTATAGTCCCACCTCAAACTCACGCCATTGGCTGAGCTGATGTTGCTGTGTTGGATTCTCAAACAAAGCAATGTTTTCATGGCATCACAGAGACACAATGTTAATATTAAACTGGGACAGGAGAAAGTATTTTAACATTGAAAAAACATTTGAACCTACAGCTCAACCTAAAAGTTTACGTTTTTAATTGGACTGCATTTTTTTCTGTGAAATCAATCAACGGTGCTTTCTGCTGTGCTGAACTTTGCTGTGCTGCTGTTTTTGTTATTAGCCAACCTTGCATCAGGGGTGCTGGATGTTTGTATGTGTGTGATGAACAGAGCAGCTGGTTTTCCCCCATGCACATGTGCCCTGTCGTGTGTTCAGCCCTCAGGGAGAGGGTGGACCACAGTGAGCCAGATGTTCCACAGCTGTTATGGGCAAAAGAGAGAGAGAGCGTGAAAGAGAGCAAGCAAGAGAGGCAGATTGGCTCACTCTGTTCTTCAGAGCGTATGGGGATGTCAGCTTTGTCATCTCCACTGCTGGAGATGGTCTTGCTTTAGTTCTCCTTCATTCTGTTGTTGAAGTTCTCAAGCTCTTTCTTCTGTCTTTCTTCTCCCTCAGGTGGGACATATGTGTGCCCAGCTGCCCGTGCAGGGAGAGCTGATCCAGAGATGCCAGCAGCTACAGTCCCGCCTGTCCACACTGAAAATAGAGAATGAAGAGGTGACGTACACATGGTCCAACAAATACAACGTGCACAACAAATGTGTGCACATTCATTCTTTGTTTATATTACAACTCATCTGTTAAACTTTACATTTCTTTTCACATCAGTTTCCTTTTTTTCTGTTGATGTGCACTGTTTCTTATCAAAGCATTGGATTGAATCAAAGCATTTTTGATTCAGCTGTCATCTTTACACAAAATTGCCGAATTCCACAGATCACACACATTCAAATTAATTATTTACATTTATACATTTGACAGACACTTCTGTCTAAACCGAACCCATGACGTTGGCGCTACAAGAGTGTTTGCCCCTTAAAGGGGTCATATGATGTTGCTAAAAATAACATAATTTTGTGTATTTGGTGTAATGAAATGTTTATGCAGTTTAAGGTTAAAAAAACACATTATTTTCCACATACTGTACATTATTGTTTCTCCTCTATGCCCCGCCTTTCTGAAACGCGTCGATTTTTACAAAGCTCATCGGTCTGAAAAGCAAGGTGTGCTCTGATTGGCCAGCTATCCAGTGCGTTGTGACTGGCCGAATACCTCAAGCGTGTGACGGAAATGTTACACCCCTACCATACTGTAATGCCCTGTCCGGCCGCAGCGACCAGACAAAAACATTAAAACCCATTATAAACGAGGCATTTGTTGCATCCAGTGGGGATATAATTACGGATTATAATGACTTATACTGTCTTTTTACGCGTTGAGTGAGCGGAGGCCTGCGGGCTAGAGTGAGCGGAGACCGGCGGCTAGAGTGAGCGGAGGCCGGAGGGCTATAGTGAGCGGAGGGCGGAGGGCTAGAGTGAGATGCAGCCGGCGGCTAGAGTGAGCGGAGGCCAGAGGGCTAGAGTGAGCGGAGGCCGGAGGGCTAGAGTGAGAGGCAGCCGGCGGCTAGAGTGAGCGGAGGCCGGAGGGCTAGAGTGAGCG